GCGGCACAGCAGTCATCTTGTAGTTACCAGGAATGGTGTTGTGGGCATCTGCAGTGTGAGTTGTCCTTGGGTATCTGGCTTCCTTAAGAATGGCAGAGTAGTTCTTGTTTTCCCCTGAGGTAATGCAGGGCTGGTAATTATCATCTTCTCAAGTTGCAAGTTCTTCAACCTTGTTCCAGCGCTGGAGAGGCCAGGGAGGCCGGGCCCCCCCAGAGGGGGGTGGGCAGAGCCTTTCCGCGCCTGGCGTGAGTTTTAAACCACCGGGTCCGGGACGCAAACCGTGGTCAACTACATGGGAGTCCAGCGACATAGCCATTACGCTAACTGCTTGTCCCCTATATCCTTTTATTCTGAGGTCTGCTTTTCTGTTTGGGATTTCATAAGTTAATAGACTTTAAAAAGGTTTTTTTTTCTCACTATGTTCAACTTTGTGATTGTGATGAAGAGTTCTTATACTTCATTTCCACCAACAAAGATGATTCTGTGAAAATAGAATCTTGGTTTTAAGAAAGCTTTGGCCTGCAGCCTGTTAGAGAATGAGCATCCGGGCCAGTGGGTAGCCAGAACAGCAGGTTGAGATAGCTGTACTTCACCTTCTCGTTCTCTTGCAGCGATCTATTGGGCTTCCTGATGTCCATTCAGGCTATGGGTTTGCTATTGGGAATATGGCAGCCTTTGACATGAACGACCCCGAAGCAGTGGTGTCCCCAGGTAAGGTCCCTATGGGCTTCTGCTGTCAGACGTGTAGCTTCTCTCTGTGGGTCGTAGCCCCCCTAAAACAGCCATACTTCTCTCTTTGCACATCTCCCAACCTCACCATATTTTACCCTTTCTTTTCCTCATTTACTGAACTTGATTACGGACATTCAGAACTGTTAGAATATTAAGTAAAACATACATTTATTGAAAAGTTTTGCACTCCTAGCAAATGCCGGAAACTAATAGTCACTGGCTACAAACCAAACTGACACAATCTCTGGAAAATCCTATATGTTGGTGTCTTAGTTACCTCATAGACAGATGGGGTTTAATAATTATCATAGTACATAGCATTATTGTGGGAATTGATGAGGTCAGCTGTAAAATGCTTACACAGTGCTAAGCACATAGGAGATCATTCAGTAAGTGTTGCTCTTGTGGTTATTGTTATTTACCCCTGGTTGTGTACATCTTTTTTTTAAGAATTATTTATTTAATTTTATTTATCATTATTATTTTTAATTTGCCACAGGACACTCATACTCACCAGAGATAGAGACTGGGTGGGGAGAGCAGGAAGTGAGGAAAGCAAGCCCACCAGGACCAGGACTCAAACCATAGTCATCCATGTGGGAGTCCAGCTCCTTAGCCACCAAGCCCCCTGCTGGCTCCTGTGTACATCTTTTCTACTGGAGTTACGGAGTGCTTTCACTGAAAACATTCCATACCAGAAGTAGTATCTTTGCTTTCAAAGAATGTGAATAAAAAACAATAGTTCAAATGACATCTTGCAAATTATGCTCCACAGTGATGAACTTCAGGCCAATCACCTGCTGAAAATAGTGAGAAAGGTTTGGTAAATTATTATTATTTTTTTAATCTTTGCAAAGGCACAAGAAAGCCACTAAGACAGTAAGAACTTAGGAGGCCAAGAACCAGAAGAAGGAGGGAAATAAATGGTCCATATATGTAAGCCCAGCATTTAGCACCTTTTTTAGTAAATTTCAATCAGTAATGATCCAGTTAACAAACTTGACCTCTCAGATGTGTGGTTGTATATGTACATGCATTACAGTGCACTTAAATGCAGAATAGCTGAGGCGGCTACTGAACTTGAGATGTGAAATACTGCTTTCAGGGACTAAAAATGAAGTTCTTCTGTTGAGACTTCTACCAGATTCATTTCTAGTAGGAGAGACACAAACCCAAGCCCATCCTGAGATGCCTACTGAACTTGAGCTGTGAAATACTGCTTTCAGGGACTAAAAATAAAGATCTTCTGCTGAGATTTCTCCCTCCACATTCATTTCTAATGGCCTCCAGGCACTGAGTGTCTAGACAGGTCCAAATGAACAATATCCAAACATCTGAATACGATTAGGGTCAGAATATTCCTCAATTCCCACTGAATCTGATGTACACAGAGTGAAAAATGGAACGAGAGATTGTAGATCAACTCTTCCTGCATGCCTCTGAATGCTCAGATTGAATTTCAAGAATTAGGAAGAATCCATTAGATGGCTGGAAATCACCGTAGGGTCACAAGAAATGAGAAAGCAAAATACCTCTACTCCAAGGGAGAAGAGTAACTCCTCTTCATCCTCAGTACAGTGGAACTCATGGAAATGTAAGATAAAGAATTTAGGATATTCATAGTGACAGAGTCTACAGAGGTGCAAGAGAAGAAAGACAAAAGAATTGCAGGAGAAAGGAGCCAACAAGTTCCAGGAGGTGAGGAAGATCTTGCAACATCTGAAAAAGGAAATATACACCATAAAAAAAAAAATCGAATGGTTAGAGATGAAGGCTATAATATCGAAAGTCAAAACCTCTCTTGAAAGTATTAAAAACAGACTAGATCATACAGAAAATCAAATCTCAGATGTAGAAGATAGAATCGTTGACCTAGAAAAATCCACCATGAAGACTGAGAAAATTGCCCCCAAGAATGAGAATAATATACAAGAAATATTAGTAACCATCAAATATCCAGATAATTGGGATCCCAGAAGGCAAAAAGACTAATAAGGGCATTGATAATCTATTCCATGAAATCCTGGAAGAAAATTTCCCAAACCTAGAGAGGTATTCAAAGATCCAATTCCAAGAAATACAAAGGACCCCAAATAGAATCAACCCAAGAAAGGGACCAGCAGGTGGTATGGTGGTTAAGGTGCTGGATACTCCCATATGGCCGACCATGGTTCAAGTGCTAGACCTGGTGGATTTCTCTCTTAAATCATTCTTTAAAATATTTTAAATAAATGAAAAAATTAAAACAAAAAGAACCTAAGAAGATCTTCTCTAACACATGTAGCCAGATTAACCAAAAACACAAAGACAAGATACTAAGATTTGCTAGAGAGAAACATCAAGTCACTTATAAAGGATATCCTATCAGGCTCACAACAGACTTCTCATCAGAAACAATGTGAGCAAGGAAAGAATGGGAAAATATATTTAAAGTGTTAAGGGAAAAGCAATTTCAACCCAGAATACTATACGTGGCAAGATTATCCTTCATATGGGAATCTTGAAAAGACAAGAACATTCTCGGATAAACCTGAAAGAATTTACCAATATAAGACCAGATCTCCAAAAAGTTCTCAAGGGAGTGCTATACCAGGAAAACTAAATATAGACACACAGAAATAAAGAGTTCAAAAACAACTAAGAAAATAGCCAACTTAATGGTAGGGACAAGTCTGGAGTTGAATGTTACCTTCCATAATTTAATCAGGAAGATTGGACCACAACAGAAGATCAAATGCATGAGACCGAACTGGGGAAATAGAATCTTAGGACTTTTAGTCGTAAGATTTTCTTCTGTGCTTTGTTTTTTGGTTTAAAGGGTTTTTGTCTCGTCTTGAGTTGCTGATAGGTTCATGTACCTACTATTTGAACAGAATCTTAACCTGTTTTCTGGCTTTAAGTTTTAAGTGAATCACTCTTAGCATTTCTTTGATTTTGATTTATTAAAGCTAAAACTGCTTTTCTTGAGACTAAAAAATATATTGTTGGGAACCAGCAGTTAGTGTAATGGCTGTGTCGCTGGATTCCCACGTAGTCGACCGCGGTTCGCGTCCCGGACCCGGTGGCTTAAAACTCACGCCGGGCGCGTGTGTGTGCGTGCCCAAGATCCCGCGAGGAGAATGGAGGAGAAGGGATTGTGGCGTGACCATCCCCTCTGGGGGGTGATTTCTCGCTTTCTGTCTCTCTGTCTCTCTCTGTCTGTCTGGCGAGCACACGCGCCCTATAGCGAAAACCTCTCAAAAAAAAAAAATATATATATATTGTAAAAAACCTATTTAATGACTGCAGTAAGCTATGTAGCATCAGCTAGGTACAACTTTATAGTATATTCATTCTACTCAGAGTTTCACACCTAAAGGCAGACATGTATTCACAGATACGTTCATACCAGCTGAACTTGCTATTCAAAGTCGATTACTTGAGAAATTTGTGAGTCAATAAAATGTGGGGGGAAAAGGAAAGGAAAGCAACTGTAAACACCTGAGATAGTGTGGGAAATGACAGGGTGAGAAATAGGGGGAAAATATATACACACACACATATATATATGATACTAGAAATGGAAAATGATCAAGGATAACATGTATGATTAAGCCATTATGTAGTATATTCTAGATGGGAAGTTACATTTTGTATGCTGTGATGATGCTCAGTGAATGAATATAAAATTAATTAATTTAAAAAAAATTTTAATGCAGAAGAGGGCCAACTTGATGTGCTGCTCTGCAGAAGCCAGGTTCTACCTGATGGCCCTGGTTTGAATCCCTTCTCTGGTCAGCGTAAAGCACACAGGGAACACATGCAGGTGCCCAAGTTCTGCTGGGCTAGAGGGCTGGAGGAAGTGGATCGTGGCATGAGCAGACCCTGTGGAGGGGTGTGCTTCTCTCTCACCGTCATATGCACGTACATGCACTCTATTACAAGTATAGAAAAAAAATTTATGTGTTTTTTTTTTTTTAAGAATTATGTATTTTATTTTATGTATTCATTCATTCATTTTAATTTGACCAGAGAGAGAGAGGGACATAGAGAGGGAAAGTGAGAAAGCAAGCCACCAGGTCTGGGACTCGAACAGTGGTAAGCCATGTGGCAATCTCCAATACCTTAACACCACACCACCTGCTGCCTCCCCCCTCAATGTTTTTAAGAGGCTTGGTTTTTTGTTCTTGTTTTTGTTTTTTGCTATAGGGCGCATGCACTCGACAGAGAGACAGCAAGTAAGAAATCATCCCCTGGGGGGATGGCCATGCTACAATCACTCCTCTATTCTCTTCCTGGGATTTTGGGCACACATGCACGTGTGCCTGGTGTGAGTTTTAAGCCGCTGGGTCTGCTGCTCGAACCTTGGTCTACTACATGGGAGTCCAGCGATGTAACCATTGCGCCATCTGCTGGTCCCAACATTTTATGTATTTTTTAAATTCATTTTTGCTATAGGGCATATGCCCTCACTAGACAGAGAGAGAGAAAGTGAGAAATCACCCCCCAGGGGGATGGCCAAATGGCCAAACCGCAATCTCTTCTCCGTTCTCTTTTCAGGATTTTGGTGTGCATGCATGTGTCCCAAGCATGTTTTTCAAGCTGCCAGGTCCAGGACTCGAACTGCACTATCAGCCATGTGGGATCTAGCTGCCTTAACTACCACACCACCCGGCTGGTCCTTTAAATGTTTTCTTGTTTGGTTGGTTTTGTTTCAAGAAAATATTTTTCAATACATCCAAAATGTTACCATGTTGTGAGTCATAAAGCAGTTCTCAGATTTCAAGATATTAGAATCATGAACAGCAGTTCTCAAACTTTGGGCTCAGGACCACTGTATACTCAGTAAAAGTTATTGAGAATTGATCTCAAAGTCTTTGATTAGTGTTCACCTCATTAAATATTAAAATAGGGGCCAACCCCACAGCCTGGTGTTTAAGAAAGCTGGATCTCACTTGGCTCTCTACAGTTCGAATCCCAGCTCTGGTGGCTTGGAAAATACACTGGTCGTGTGTGTGTTTATTCTCCAAATTCCCACAGGACAGAGAAATGGAAAAGGGATTACAGCATGACCATACCCCATTGGGGGTACTTTCTCCCTTTTCCTCTGTTTTGTCTTTTCTCTGGTGAGCACATATGCACTCTAGCAATGAAGGAAAAGGGAAATGAAAAACTGCAAAATTGTTTGGAATTTTTTTATTTTAATTAATTAATTTATTATTATTATTACTCAGTTTTACCAGAGAGGACAGAGAGAGAAAGCAAGCCGCCAAGCCTGGGACTCAAACCATGGTCGGCCATTTGGGAGTCCAGCATCTTTACCACCAGGCTACCTGCCAGCGCCATAAACTGAGAAATTTTAAAAGCAAGAATGCACGGACTGGGGCCGGCAGGTGGCATGGTAGTTAAGGGCACTGGACTCCCACATGGCCAACTCCAATTTGAGTACTGGACCTGGCAGCTTACTTTCTCATTTTCTCTCTCTCTTTCTCTGTCCTTCTCTAGTCAAATTAAAATAAGTAAATACATAAATAAAGTTAAATAAAATAATTCTTAAAAAAAAAAGAATGCACAAGCTTTATTATCTCTCAGGAAAGATGTTATCATATGTCATGTAAGCCTTTGGAAAATCTCATTGTTCACTCATAAAAGAATAAGACACTAGCTTCCCACATGGCCAGCCACAGTTCAAGTCCTGGACTTGGTGGCTTGCTTTCTTACTTTCTCTGTTGCTTTGTGGTCAAGTAGAAAAAAAAAAAAAAAAAAAAAAAAAGGTGGTAAATAAAATTAAATCTTTAAAATAAATAAATAAAAATAAAGAATCGGTGTCTTTTTAACCTTTCATTAATGTTGAGAAACTACAGGAAACAGTGCCCAGCCACCTAGTTTTGCGACTATTTGACTCCCTTTCCTCTGCATCATAGGTGGTGTTGGATTTGACATTAACTGTGGTGTCCGCCTGCTGAGAACCAATTTGGATGAAAGTGATGTCCAGCCTGTGAAAGAGCAACTGGCCCAAGCCATGTTTGACCACATTCCCGTGGGAGTGGGGTCCAAAGGTGTCATCCCCATGAATGCCAAGTAAGAGCACACACTTCCATCAGATGGTTGGCAGAGATAGAGCAATGTGACCCTCCGCTCCATTTCTATCCAAGGGCACTTGGGAGATGGGTATTGCTTGGGTACTTTCCAGGAAGTAGTAATGAATTGTTTTTCTAATCATATGGTCCAGCCCCGTTTATTAGAGATACCAGTCAACTAATGCTTGTTTTAACAGCATTTGACATTAAGGTAGTATTTATAGTAGAATAAAATAGCACTCGGGTGGCAGGTGGCATGGTTAAAGGTGCTAGACTCCCATGTGGCTGACCACGGTCCAAGTCCCGGACCTGGTGGCATCTAACATAAAGCTTGGTACTCAGGAGATAAATATAGTATGCTTTTGTGCCCCTTTGATATGTGGTCAAACTTAGGTTTTGCTCCACATTGGCTGTGAAATGATAGCACTTTTTACTACTCACCCAGAGACTTGGAGGAGGCCCTGGAGATGGGTGTGGACTGGTCCCTGAGAGAAGGCTATGCCTGGGCAGAAGACAAGGAGCACTGTGAGGAGTATGGGAGGATGCTGCAAGCTGACCCCAATAAAGTCTCGGCAAGGGCCAAAAAAAGAGGCCTTCCTCAGGTAATTCTCACTTTGGAGGAGTGATGTATTAATTTTTTCTGTATTTTTTTATTAGAGGGAAAAATAATCTACATCTTCTATTTAGCAAACATAGCCGCTGACTTTTTCATAATATACCAGAAATAATGCATATTTTATGCTTCATTCTTCTAAAAAGCTAGAAGGGGCCAGTAAGTGTCATAGTGGTTATAATACCAGACTCCCATGTGGCCGACCACAGTTCGAGTCCCAGACCCAGCAGCTTAAAACTCAGTGTCAGGTGTGTGTGTGTGTGTGTGCATGCCCAATATCTCTAGAGAAGAATGGAGGAGAAGGGATTGTAGTGTGACCATTCCCCCTGGTGGGTGATTTCTCACTTTCTCTCTTTGTCTCCGGCATGCACATACACTCTATAGCCAAAAATATCTCTTTAAAAATAAAAAGCTATCAGAAGCTTGTAGATGATAATAAAATAAAACAAGATGTCATGACTTAGAAGTGGATGAGAGAAAATTATTATAAGGTTTGAAACGTTTAAATTACATGTGTACGATCTACAGATTAGGTCTAAATTAGAAGGAGATACTTTTTATTACCAGTTCATGGTGTCCGTGAGATGATATACTACGCATGTAAAGTTTGCAGCTAATTTTGATGATTTTACCACTGATTAACGGTGACCTTGGGCAAGACTCTTGTCTCTCAGGGTCTTATTTTCTCATTGAAAGTTGATGCATTTAAAACCAGGCAACTTCTAAAGAAGTTGCTTTTTAAATGATTTTTTTCTTTTTAAACTGGAATTAGAAGCTTTTTTATCAGGCGTTTTTACATTTGCAGTTGGGGACTCTGGGAGCAGGTAACCACTACGCTGAAATCCAGGTTGTGGATGAGATTTTCAATGAATATGCTGCAAAGAAAATGGGCATCGACCATAAGGGACAAGTGTGTGTGATGATCCACAGCGGGAGCAGAGGCTTGGGCCACCAGGTAGCCACAGGTATGTTCTAGACCTAATTTTTGCCCGGAATCACATAGAACTTTAAGAAAGAAAGCTTTGGCACCATACTGCATGTGTTTTTATCATAGTTCTCCTGTTTTAATTTTGAAGAAGTCAGTAACTTTACTTTCTCATCTTAAGAATGGGTATAGTAACTTTTCATAGGGTGTTGGCATAGGAGGGTAAGTGAAATAATGTACACTGCAAAGCACTTAAATCAGCACTTGATGCTTAGCAAACAGTAAGTAAATGTTAGCTCTAGTTACAGTTTTAATAATTTTACAGGGTACTGGAACTGGCTAAGAAAGTACTTCAGTTGTGGAATTTATGAAGTGGGCATTCATTCAGCAAATATTTATTAAATACCTACTCTGCAAAATTAGGTGTTAAGTAATTCAGTGATGAGATGGGTACTTTCCATCAAACTGTCTATAAGGAGAGCTCGTATTAATATAAAAGAGAATAAAGAGAGAGGGTAGTAATTGGTAGAGTACTGTAGGAGGGACAAGTACGACGCGCTCGAAAACAGATTTTGAAGATGGCTTCACAGACACTAAACATTTGAACTGGGCTTTGCAATTTGGATAATCACATAAAAAGGACATTCATTGGGATCAGCAGGTGGTGTGGTGGTTAAAGGCACTGGATTCCCACATGGCCGACCATGGTTCAAGCCCCAGACCTGGTGGCTTGGTTTCCCCCTTTCCCTTTCTCTGTCTCTCTCTGGTCAAATTAAAAATAATAACAGGCCAGCAGGTGGCGTGGTGGTTAAGGACACTGGACTCCCACATGGCCAACCTTTTCCAGTCACAGACCTGGGAGCTTGTTTTCTCACTTTCTCTGTCTCTCTGTCCCTCTGTCCCTGTCTGGTTATATTAAAATAAATAAAGTTAAATAAAATAATTCTTTAAAAATAATAATAACAAATGGAATTAAATAGATAAATAATTATTTTTTAAAAAAGGACATTTGGGGCCAGCAGGTGGTGTGTTGGTTAAGGGCACACTGGACGTCCACATGGTTAACCGCAGTTCAAGTCCCAGACATGGCGACTTGTTTTCTCGCTTTCTCTCTCTTTCTCTTTCCATCTCTGTTTAAATTAGAATAAATAAAGTGAAATAAAACAATTATTTTTTAGTACACTCATGACAAAAAGTTTGAACAAAAGCTAGACACAGGGAGATAACTAGTAGATCACTTTGGATGACTTCTTGGGTATAGGAAAGGATTTATAAATATATGAAAAGGTATATAGACATGGAAATTGCTGTGATCTTTAAATTTTGTGTTATAGTTTATCTTTGTATGTGTATTTCATCTTTTCTTTTTTTAATTTTTTCAGGTTCCAAATATTTCTTTTTTCTTTTTTTTTTTTTTTTTTTTTTTTTTTTTTTTTGGGTT